GGGGTAAGACTGAGAAAAACTGGATAAATTGTGTATACTGCACTGAAACAGATGAGCGAGTGAATAATTTAAAAGCGATGTATGATAGGGTATTATGGTTATCACAAAAGTCCACAATTAAGGTTGCATAGTGGAATGTACTTGGGGTGGTGGGAGCGGTGCAGGGGGACTGTGTACCAGGAAGGAGTGTTTCTTTTACTTTTGAAAGAGAGGAGCGAACTGGGGGTGGGGGTGGGGGAGAGGGATGGGCAGGGAGAGAAGTGCAGCAATGAATGAATGGAAATCCAAAATCTCTGTAACTACTCATTAAAATTATTAAAAAAAAATAGTTTCAGTCTTACAGTTGGTGGAGGGAGCAGTGTTTGTGAACTTGGATGGAAAAAGAAATCATTTTCATCTCATCACTAAGCTCTAACTGAAATTGATCTTCTCCTTCAATGATGCGGGTGATAAACCACAGTGGTGCTCATGGATCTGTGACTGCCACCGGCAGAAATAGAGACGCTCTGTAAAGTCTGAAGTCACTGTAGATGTCTTAAGATAATTGCGTATTGTTTACTACTTGAAATGAAAAGTTACAAACTCATAGGTAGATAGTAAATAAAGTATTTTTTAAAAGTATTTTTATAAATGTATTTCAATGGAATTGGTTTTCCTTTGAAACCCCTTGGATTCACGGCATTGCTACTGTTGTTATGTGCCAGGGAGTCAAAAATGACTCGCAGTAGACCCTCTAGCATGTTTTGAGAGTCTGTAAACAGCACAGGAGGAGACTGCTCATGGTTCACCCACAGAGCACCTGGTGGATTCAGACCGCATACCTCTGAGGTGGCAGCTCAACTCCTCACCAATAGGCCACCAGAGCTTCCAAGGTCAAAGCTCTGGAAAATATTATTCTGGGAAGAATCATAAACGTTACCAGCCTGTCCAGGGGTCCCTGATACCTGAAAAGGTTAAGCTCTCCTTGTCTTAGAGCCTTGAGGACCATCAACAAAGGCTGCATTAAGAACATTATTGTTGGCGAGCTCTGGCGGCCTAGTGGCAAGAAGCTGCACTGCAATCTCAGAGGTGAGTAGTTCGAATCCACCAGATGCTCTGCTGGAGAAGGAGGAACAATCTCCTCCTATACCAGTCAGATCTGATTTGACGGTACACATACACAAAAATAATGAAATAAAATTAAAAAAAAAGAATGTTATTGTTAACTGTCGCTGAGTTCAGATGGGACTGTTGTGATCCAAGGTACTGTAACTTACGGATTTTTAGAAGATTGCCAGCCCTTTCTTCCAAGTCTCTCAGTTTGAACACTGCTGAAAGCTGCTCAGCTTTACATGAACAGGCAAGCGTCCACCGACAGACAAGTGAGGCCTGTGCTTAGGACACTAGTAACAAATTCAGCCCAGGCCTCCTGCACGGAAGGCAAGACTTCTACCACCGAACCCTGCTGCTCTCTATTAGAAAGGTGAGAGCCGTGTGGGTACTTACTGAAGTTCGACATTAAAGTATTCTTCAGGCGTCACTATCTTCGCTCCACCGTAGTAGTCCAGGACCCAGATATTGGTTATATTCAGTTTAGCAACGAACCAGTTATGGTCAGAAGGCCAGGTCGTCATCTCAGGATGTCGCGTGAACAACGAATCCTTTGCAAATTCCATTTCTGTGTCGTCCACCTAGAGGACAGGTGTGGAATAAATACTCTCTTCGCACTGACATTTTGTTTTCTCCTCACTTAACAATATGTGATGCTCACAATCTACAGGACCTACAGGTTTATTTAGCTATACAGCCTTTTAAGCTTTAGGAATATAGGGAGAGAATGCATAAAAGAAGTTAGAAGAAAAACAGAGAGCAGTAAAGATAGCAAATTCTGCTGGAAACAGATGTAATAAATATGGACTCCATTGAGAGTACCACTCTTCATTGTTAACTAACTCATCTGGGGCCATCAGAGTAACTGGCATAAGGTCATAAGGTCAGAGCTGGGAGGGTACTGAGTAAGCCAAGAAGAAGAGTGTGTGTTCTACAGACGAGGGTGAATTTAGGTAGTCCTGGTGAGAGCTGGAAGAAGCCCTGACGGCTTAGTCCATATGGAATTGCACTGTCAGCCCAAAGGCCATGCTTCTCTGGTGGTTCAAATCCACGAGCAGCTCCTGAGGAAGAAGATGCGCCATCTCCTCCCAGAGGATTTATAGCCTCAGAAATCAAAAGGGGGGTCAGCTGTGAGTCAGTTCTGACTTGATGGCAGTGAAGGGTTTTAAAAGTGAGTGCTGGAGGAAGAGGCGAACCAGAGTCTAACAATATCCTCCCAGCTCTGAACCAATGATAAAATATGGAGCCGAGCAGCCCAGACACAGGAAATCTAACTTTAATGGGGCTTTGATTAAGTAGACACTCCTTGGCGAGAGTCATTTTAAATAACAGATTTAAAGCCCTTACATCTATTTGGCTTTAAGAAAACATCTATCTTCCTCATGAACATCTTATTGAATACCTATATTAAAGCAACTGATTAAAATCTTTCATTTTCTGGGAATTATCAAGCAATCACAAATCAACTTCATTTCACTCTCTAGAGAGTTCATCTTTCATTGCTAATAGGATGATGTTCTTTCAAAAGCAATGTGTCCCCGTGCAGGGAGATGCCTTACCTTGGTAACAGTGCCTGACAGCATTATGTGAGCACAGAGTGGGCTCTGGGGATCATACCCACGCTTCCTGCAGAAGTTCGTCTGTGCCAAAGACATTGTCAGCGTGGCATATGGATTAACCTGCAGAGAGAAAATGAAGACCCTCTCCTGTGAAATATGGCCTCCAGAGAGGTAATAAATTCCACCAAGCTGCATACATAATGCCCCAGGCACAAGACTGTTCTTCTATGACTCAATGAATTGTACAACAATCACCTTCCACTCAGGGGAAAAATACTGCTTGGACAGAGACTGATGTTTTCTGTAAATTCTGACCACCCAGAAAATCCCAAACCAAACCAAAACCAACCTGGGAAAGGTTCATATGTAACGTCAACTGATTTAAGTAAGGGTATTTTAGGAGTCCCTGTTGTTGTTGTTGTTGTTATGTGCTGTCAAGTTGCCTGCGACTCATAGTGACCATACGTATGACGGGTGTGAAGCCAGCCCTGTCCTGAGCCAGTCTCACTGACTCTGACACGTCTACTCCCATTGCCCCAGTTACAGTATCAATCCATCTTGTCCAGGTCTGCCCTGTCCCTCCAACCTTCCGAGCACGATGTCCTTCTCTAACGACTGGTTCCTCCTGGCCACGTGCTCAGTATGTGAGATGAAGCTTCAGAATCCTAGCCTCCAAGGAGAAACTTCATTTCACTCTCTCCAAGGTAGACTTATTTATTTTCTTAGCAGTCCATGTTACGTTCAAGACTTTTTCCCAGCACCACAACACAACAGCATCAATTCTTCTGTCATCCTTAGTCTCTGTCTAGCTCTCTCATGCACAGAAAGTAGGTGGATCAGGTGCACCTTAGTCTCTAAACTGACATCACTGCTTCTCAGTACTCTGGAGATGGTGGTACAAATTGTTAAGTGCTCAACCCTCAGCCAAAAGGCCAGTGGTTCCAAATGGACATAAATGTACTCACGTTCACTGCAGCATTATTTACCATAGCACAGGGTTGGAAACAACTCAAGTGTCCATGAAATGAAATGAGTGAAAGTTAAAGAAACCATGTGCATTCACACAACAGAGTATTATGCATCACTTTAAAACTGTCAGGAAGTTGTCAAATACTGTACAACATGGATGAATCTAGCACAGATTCTGCTGACTGACATGAATCAGTCATAAGAGGACAATTACTGCCTAAGATCACTTTATTTAAAGCTAAGGAAAGGTTACACACAGAGAGACTCAATCATGGATGGTAATCAGGGATGAGAAAGGTGAAATCAGTAAATAGTAGTACATAGATAAGTTGAGTGAAAGGAAAGACAATATGCAACACGCAACAAGTGGATGACCAGACAGTGCAATTAACTATATTAATCAATTGTAACTAGAATTATAGAGCAAAATGTCTACGATTAATGGAATGAAAAATAAGTATAACTTGTAAACTTTTCCTCAAATACAAAGGTTTGTGGTTCAAATTCTCCTGACAGTACCTTGGAGATAAGGCTGACAATAAACTTCAAGACACAGGACTGAAGGACAACCGATAACAGTAACAAGAACACAGTATTTCAACACATTTCACCCCTGAAACTCTGGCATCAAAAGAATTATAATTACAGTAATCACCCAACTCGAAGGATAGTCTGTAGCCTTCACAGAAAGGCCTAATGAGTTCAACCCCAATGTGAACTCAGTGTCCAGAACATCCCCCAGTTGCTCAACCAGATAAATGACCAGTCAGAAGGCAGCTGAGTCACACTGCTCGGTATCTCAGACCAGCAGAAACGCTCATGTGATTTCAAAACTGGAGACCTTGCTTATTCTTGCTCAAGTAACCCGAGAATCATTCCTAGTTCATGTTCAAAAAGGAAGTAAACAAAAAGGAAGTAAACAAAATTTCCAATTCCTTCTTATTCCTAAATAGCTTCTTTAAGAAGGCATTTTAACAGATTACAGCAAAATGCACAGATTGGATGTCAGGCTCTTTAAACTCTTAATTGCCTGGTGTGAAGAATTTTGCCAGGTCACAGAAACTATGTCAAAACAGTGAGTCCTAGAGTGCTTTAAAATCAGTTCAGTATTTTCTGTGTATAAACTATAAAGCAAGATAGACTATTGCTCCTTTCCCTTAAAAAACAAAACAATAAAAACCTAAAAACAGGGAGCTCTGGTGGCCTAGCGGCAAGAAGCTGTGCTGCAATCCTGAAGGTGAGTGGTTAGAATCTACCAGATGCTCCGTTGGAGAAGGAGGGGCATTCTCCTCCTGTGCCAGTCAGATCCTACTTTACAGCACACAACAACAAGAAGATTAAAAAAAAAAAAAAATCAACACCAAACAACAAAGATCCTACCAAACAAAAACCCCAAATTTTAATTAGAAGCCTTCCTTCTGTGAGTTTATAATCTGGTTCAAAAGTCAGATAGAAACCAATATTGTGAAATAAAGATAAAGAAAGGGCAAAAAGCTGAACATAATTAATTGTCACATGAATGACTCAGCATTAAAAGAGGTATAGCTCAGGGGTACACAATGGTGACTTCAAGCACACAGAACTAGAAAATATAAGTCATGGCTGAAAATAGAAGCCCAAATGCTTTCAGAAGAGGAAAAGAAGCAGAGGTAGGGCCTCAAATCCAAACTAGTATTTTATAGGTCAGCATTTGTTGGTTGAAGAGCCACCTACCTGGACAGCTTGTTAAAAATGCCGATTCTCCATTCAACCCAAGAACATGCATCTGACGCAAATACCTAAGTGACGCTCACATAGCTCTAAAATATTTTATTAATGAAAATCTCATGGGAGGGGTGAAGGGAAGAGTCAGAAGCAGACAGGGAGTCAGGGGCTCTGGGGGGCATAGGCTGGAAGGGGTTATTGCTGCTAATCCAAAAGCTAAGCCTCTCTGGGGGATTGAATTCACCAGCTGTTACCAAGACAAAGGTGGGCCATCTCCTTCTGTGTGATTTACAGCTTCAGAAACCCTCTGAAGGATCATTTATGAAATGGTCCTGACATAATGGCTAATATTTTTACTCTAACAGTTATGGAAAGTCGGCTGTTAGGGACTTCTCCAAAGTACTGAGGAGCAATGGAATCTCTCTGGAGACTAAGTTGCATCTAATACGGGCCATGATCTTTGCAAATCACTTGTTATGCATCAGAGAGTTGGACCATTGTCCAACTAGGGAGGACAGAAGGAGAACTGATGCCTTTGAGCTGTGGTGCTGGAGAAGAGTACTGAATGTACCATGGACTGCCAAGAAAACAAACAGATTCATCTTGGAGAGAGTTAAACCAGGCTGCTCCTTGAAGGTAAGGATTCCAAGGCTTCGTCTGACATACTTTGGTCACGTTGTAAGGAGGGACTGATCCTTGGAGAAGGACATCATGTTTGGGAGGGTGGAGGGACAGTGCAGAAGAGGAAGACCTTCTATGAGGTGGACTGATTCAGTGACTGGGGTAATTGGGATGGGTGTGTCGGAGACAGTGTGAATGGCACAGGACAGAGTTTAGGGCTGTTGTACATAGGGTCGCTATGAGTTGCAAGTGACTCGAAGGCACATAACAACAAGTCGTTAGGGAGCTCTGCTGGCCTAGTTCATAGTGAGCTACAACGTTAATCTAAAGCTCACACCTCTCTGGCAGTTCGAAGCCTCCAGTGCCTTGAGGGAGAAAGACAGGCCATCTCCTCTTATATAATTTACAGCCTCGGGAAGCCAATTGCAGGGGTGGGAAGCTTCAGCTATGAGTCAGTTCTGACTTGAGAGCAATGAGTTTGAGTTCTGGTAGTTTTAGGAGTCCCTGGGTGGCAGGCACAAAGGAGCCTTGGTGGGGTAGTGGTTTAAGAATTGGGCTGTCAAGTGAAAGGTCAGTGGCTTGAACCCACCAGCTGGGTTCCAGGAGAAAGATGAGGCAGTTCGTAAAGATGGCAGCCTCAAAAAACCTCTGGGGCAGATCTACTATGTTGATTAGTCTTTCCAAGTCAGAATCAATTCAACTGCAACAGGTTTGGTTTAAATGATCCATGTGCTCAATTGCTACCCAAAAGGCTGAAGGTTCAAGTCTACCCAGGGATATTTCAGAAGAAAGGTCTGGTGACCTACTTCTAAAAATTCAGCCTCCGAAAACTCTATGATACTAGTGGTTGCCACAGTGGGAGTTTATACAATAGCATCTGGTTTTAGTACTTTTAAGTGTTAGATGACAAAGGCTTAGACTAAGGAGGGAGTGGTGGGAATGAAAAAGAAAGGGACAGAGCCAGCAAAGAGATGCGGGGGGGGGGGAGGACCAAACAAATCAACAACAAAAACCCGAGGGAAAGTGTAGAAAAAGCAAGGACAGTAGGACAGTTGTGGAGACAGCCTCAGACAGACACGGGAGTGTGAACTCAATCAAGTCCGCAGGTGGAAATGCTCCCACCACCACCATCCACAACACAAAACTGATTTCCATGAGATCCGACATGTTCCTCCCACTCCCACACCTCTTTCTACTGATTCCAGCAACAACTCTCCTGCCTAACTGGGTCTGAAATTTGTCGCAATAGCTACACAGACTTCACAGAAACATACTCACTTTTGTGACGTTTATTAGGGAAGCTAGCAGGTTACAATTCAGACTGATAACAGGACACAGGCTCTCAGTCAGGAGAGCCACTGAAGTATGCTCACAGGACCCTCAGCATTCTGAGGGTGTAACAAAGCTCTCTTAGTCCTGCCAACTAAGGTATCCCCCACTTTCAAGTTCTCTAACAGGCCTGGGTGAAGACTCCAAGCTCTGATTCCATGGGTAGCAGTCCTAGGTCGGCTGTCTCACATCAGGTCTCCAGTTCTCTACTGCTGCTGTTGCTGCTCCTGTAGGCCCTGACCTGGCTGGTGCAGGTATCTCTGGCCCTCAAGTATGTGCACTGCATTCTCTGTTCTTCTTTGCTGGTAATAAGATTCCTAATTTCTGCTGCTGAATCTGCTCAATTTAATGGCAAGACTAGCCAATCCCCTTGTGGAAAGACTGTTGTTATGTACCACTGAATCGGAACCAACTCATAGCTGACCCTTCAGTGGGTTTTCAGATGCATGGGAGGAGACGGCCATCCTTCTCCTATAGAGCAGCTGGTGGATTTTAAC